CAGCTCTGATACCTCCCCACCAAGTGAACACACACAGGGCTTTCAAAAGTCTTAAATCTCTCAAAATTCCTGTTCCCTCATTCCTATGTCTCCCAACCTTTACTTCTAATTCTATTTTCACATCAACCATAAAATGTGTCGTCTATCACAACTTGATGTCACCAACTGACACCAATTCCCACAAAAAAACAAGTGACAGGAGATGTGTCATTTCATGAAAATCTGTTTTGACTCTTCTCTAGTCTCTTAAATTAATTCAGTCCAGATTTTTTTTAGGATGCAAATGTATGGGTATGTTTGTCTCCATGGCTGCTACAGACCACATTGTGTAATAAGACTTGTGCTTTTAAGGTCAGAAATTCTGGAACTGAAAAGGCCAACAGCTCTCTAGGGTTGAACTATGGGCTGTCTCTGCAGAACAATAACAAAACAAGAAACCTATTTGCAACAGGATCTGGGGTGGTTGTTGACTATGTGCACAGCTGACAGGTGAGTCACAACCATCTTTTGGGAGAATTAATTTACGTTGGCTGATGTGACTTCCTCCTCTTGTACACAGTTGGTTTAGAGAATGCAAGGAATTTGCTAGCCAAGCAAGTTTATCCATTCTGTTTTCTAGCCAGACTCTTTTCCACTGAGGTATGTTTCTAACAAATTCCCTCAGCCAGTTTTGCTGCCAAAGCAGCACACGGTTCAATGGGACAGTTTAAACCTGAAAAAGCATGCTCTCTAAAAATGTACTGCATGCTGAATGAAATAAAATCTGACTCTGGCTTTGAAATAGAGGTATCTGAACTTTTAACCAAAACGTACCCTAAGGTCTAGAACTATATCATCCCCTGGTGCACATAATGCATGAGTAAAGAAGCCAGTGTGACAGAGTGTGTTCTGAGCACTCACCACATGCCATGAGATGTTATTCCCATTTACTGATGAGAAAACTGAAGATTGCAGAAGTAAAATAAGGTGGCCAAGTTCAAATACTAAATGGCAGAACAGGAATTTAAAAGCAGTGTCCTGATACAACAAGGCTGACTGGTTGTCGGTATGTTCGTTCTTATTCCAACAAATTGTTTAATTGTGTTAAAAAATGCCACTAAAATACAGACTATTAGATAAAAACAATCACTCACTAAATAAGAAACACAAATTTACAAAAAATACATAAACCAAGGTCCATATTAACAATTTGCCAAAAGTATATAATTGTGATTTTCTAATTTACAAATAAGAGCTGAACACTATATCTAAACATTCCTTGTGAGATTAAATTTGTGAGTTGTAACAAGTAGAAACTTGACTTTTCATGTTTAAATTCATCCCTTATATTTTTATCAGAAAAAAAGTTATTATTAGGCATATTCTATGGAAATCAGTCTGAAGGTAGAAATAATTAAGGTTCATAGGCAAAAGAAGCCAAGGTGACAGCAAAAGGAATAAAATAGAACCACTACACCATCTAGTGATCAAACTCTTGCTTTGCAAGAAGACAACTTGATGCAACTCTGTTTTCCAAGTCAGTCCCTAGAACTCTGAATCTGATGAATATTAATGAGAAAAAAATCATGACAAGTAATGGAAAATTAAGGCAGGCAAACAGGGACAGTGAAATGGGATAGATTTCTGTTAAGATTTCATCAGATGCCAGAAGTGAACACAGATTCTCTTAAGATCTGCTAGGTCCTGTTTACTTTTCTCTGTTCTCTAAAACTGGAGGTACTATTTTATATATTAATCACAGTTCTACTTTAAAAGAGATGATATTAAGTACCTATTCAGTAAGCCTAAGAAATTCTTCCTCCACATTCTACCTAGGACTCATTCACTATAACAAAGCTCAGTGTTAAGACCTAAGCATGGGGGCCTCTCTGGTGGTGCAAGGGATTAAGCACCGCACTATGAAGCAATCCGCAGCCTCTGCAGCACGAGTTCTATCCCTGGTGGCGAGGGAGCAACTCACATGGCATAGCAGACCTCTCCTGTCTTGCCCGCTGCTCCCCTCAATAGTGCATTTCAGTTAATCTCCTGTTCTGTTCCCCACTGTCTCTGGTGAATCCTCTCACCCCCCACATCTCTGGCCTGTACCCCAGCTCTTGTATGCATAAATAATCTTTTTTCTTTAAAAAAAAAAAAAAGACCTAAGCATCTTCAGAACATGCTTCCCTCTGGTCTTGTTATCCATAAGTGGTAATAACTCTGAAATTCAATGCACAGCTCACATCAAAATACCCCAAAATGACTTACCTATTACAAAAACATGAAAATACTACTTCAAGAACCAAAGATAATATAAAAAAAACGAAATTTTCTAATCTCAAGGTTTATATTTTGTTTTTTTCATTGTCAGGATGTACTTAATTTTGTAATTCTTTTTTTTTTTTAAAGATTCATTCATTCATTCATTCATTCATTCATTCATTCATTTATACAAGCACCAGGTACAGTCAGAAGCGTGGGAGGGTGAGAGAATTCACCAGAGCCAGAGCGGGGAGCAGAGCAGGCAGAAGGACCAAAGTACACTGCTGAGGGGAGCAGCGGGCGGCAGGAGAGGCCTGCGCGCCATGTGGGACCCTCCTCCGGTGGCCGGGGAGCAGCCGGGGATTGAACCGGTGCCGCAGAGGCCACAGGCAGCTTCGTAACCCAGGGCTCAACCGCTGCGCCACCGGGGAGGGCCCTTAATTTTGTAATTCTTATGGAAAGGAAAAGGAAAAACAAGTTCGTAATTACATAAATCTATCAGTGTATGTGGAAAAATGTTTTCTTCTATCATGCTTGCACAAAGTTAAGCTAGTTTTTATTCCAGCAGGATTTATAACACTGCGGCAGGCTCTGTCAATCTTAGGTAGGAAAATAGTTGAGTCTAGTTGGATACTTAGTACGTCCCTAACAAAAATTCAAAGCAAGCATAAATTTAACAATACAAATTCCTAATTGGTAATTTTTCAAATCCCAAAAATGCCGACTGGTCTTTGTCAATAATGAGATCTTATTTCAGGTAAGTTCACAATACCAGCATAGTATAATGGGGAAAAATACAAAGATAATATAGAGTAAGAAAACCCCAGCTCAGCACAACTATAAGTTGTTGATCTTGAGAAGTTTCTCATCTCTGAACCTCAACTGCTTCATCTGTAAAAGGGGGATAAAACACTTAACTTGAAAATTTATCCCAAGTGTTAAAGAATACAAAGGGAATAGCTAAGAGATAATAAATAGTAAATACTAGCCATTTATTTTTAAAAGTGGCAACATGATGTTTAAAATCAGTAATTTAGAAATAGCTGCCTATGTGGTCTAGGATGATCCAAGGTAAAATTATAAACTAGGCAAAGTCTATTTTTTGTATGTCTTATTATCTCTTTAGCATCACCTTCAAAATCCATAAGTAATATTGGCTCAGAAAAACTGATAAAAGGGTGACAGAAAACATTTGAGTCTACAGTGAATGAGCTGAAAGATTTCCTCAAGAATAAAACACTTCATAAAGCTTTTAAAGACAGGTTTATTTATATATAAGTGCATGAAATTGAATACAGAAACTTTATTAAAATACTGTATATTACAAACTTTTAATCTAATAAATTTTGTGTAATGACACTGAAATGCTGGATTCACTTTTAACAGTTATTTTGTGTGTATCAGTAAAGAGCTCGCCCTGTATGTTACAAAGAGGAGAGACACATGTGGACCTCAGAAATGGCCCAGTGATTAGACAGTGGATGGTTTTAATTGTGCATCATTTTTTTTTAAAGCAACAAGTTGGAACCTAGATCTTGTCCTTGCAGATCAACTTTCTATAATCAAAAATAACTTGCATGTTTATTGCTGCCCTTTGAAAACAGTAGGTGGAAAAAATAAAATAAAGATTTTGGTTTCTAAGGCTAACCTGATGGTTACCACAATTAAAATAATTAAAATTCACTGCAAAATTTGTGTTCTCCAGGAAATTATGCTATATACACAATGAGATTTGTACATGAATTAGGAAATTAAAAAATTGCTTATATAAAATTAAAAATCAATAGTATACAATATTTACAGCTTGTTAGGTATCATACATAAACATAGTTTTTAAAATAATCCTTCAAAATTAAACTGTATTATGTAAACATGCAGTACACATACTCATACAGTGTAGTTTATAGTCTTAACAGAAGGGGGGGAATCATGTTCACATAATGTAGGGTACTTCATCATATATGCCTTTGTTTCTGTGCATTACCCTCCAACATTTATTCTTCCTGTCTTTAAACTTCACAGTACATTAAGTATTTCTATAGTAAAAATAAATCCCTGATGGTAAACATATTTCTAAAGGTTACATAAAGTGTCTGCCCTTATACTACAATATAAAACTAACACTGTTCACACTTGAATCTCTAGTTTACAAAAAATTAATTTTTTTTAAATCCCACATGTAACTATCTTGACTACCTTTTTCACCACTTCAAACTAACTTGGAAAAAGAAGAGAGACAAATACCACATCATGAAAATGTTCTGAAAGTAGTTGTCATCTATCATAGTCAATAGTAAAACAAGTGAATTTTATTAAACCAAAAGTTAATTCAATTACACTGCTCCTAAACGCTGAACTACCAATGCCGGATCTTTCTAAATTCACTTTGCAAAAGTATCTTAACTTCCAAGGCACTAAGGCATCATTTAGTGTTTAGAAACTGTACTGTAGTTTACTAAATGATTCATCAGTGGTCTGACAGTTAATACAATTTGAAAATGAGCCTTTTAATACCTATCATAAACTATATTCTTACTATTTAAATAAAGACATTTTAATTAAGATAGAATTGATCCCCTCATCCTAGAATGGACTAGAGTCAGAGGTTAATACTTTATGGCAAATCACATGAATTTTACCAAGTATATGAGCAAAATGAAAAATACTGTAGAATTTCTTATGCTCATCTTGGTATGTAGAGCTTATGTCTCCCCTCCCCCTGAGTGTGTGTGTGTGTGTGTGTGTGTGTGTGTGTGTGGGCAGAGGGCTACAATTTTAATAAATTTCTCCATCATAAATGCATCTGATATCACAGATACTAAGAAAGTGTCAACCATGAGACCTTCCACTAATCCAGTACTGAAAGAAAGTCATTTTTATTATTATTCAAACAAGTGCCTCTATTTTGCTTTCTACAGAGAAAACTTTAAAATGTTCTTTCCCAAAGATATTTAGTGATGATGTGCAAATACTTCAATTTAAAAACAAAGGAAACATTTCATCAGCAGTACTATCAAGTTAACATTCATTTATATAGGGTTTTTAAAAAAAGTGACAATTTTCTTTTGAAATGATCAGTTACGTTGATTTTGTATTTGCCACAATACATACTATCGTTTCTCTTTCTATATATTTATGTTACACTGCTGCTTTCCAGTCTCAGTTACATACATAAATACATTCCTCAAAAGGGCACAGTCATCTTATCATTGAGAGGAGATATATAATGGCATGGGATATAATTTTTTAAAAATGAGGTTCATGCTTTCTTGACTTGCCTATAGTATTTTTCCGTAAGATTATAACTGTATAACCATAAGGTATTAAGAATATTCTCCTCTAAGCCAGCACTTCTAGCAACAAGCTGCACATATGTTTAAACTATAATATGGCATCTATATGGAAGGAGAGAGAAATTTTTTAGAAACTGTTAAATTAGTTCTTAAAATCAAGAAAGGGTTATTTTATAAATTCAATATGTGTGCAATGAATGTGAAGAATGTAAAAATGAGTCCCCTAGACTCAGGGGAGGACATGGTTACAGTTCACAGCTCAGCTCACTCAGAAATTTGGGGAATTTCCACTAAATTAATGAAGTATACTAACTGGTACATCTCCGTATTTCTTGAAAATTATATAATAAGAATTGCTTCCTCCAAACAAATTCACTGATATATTTTTAGATAACTAATTCAGCAACCTCCTCAAAAAATATTGTATTGCCTACACTGAACAGAGAAACTTAAGTTAGAAGAGCAAACCTACCACCACCACCACCACCACACATACACACACACGCACACACACACACAGAATAATAAAATTTCAAAATGCTTTGTGGTAAGTCTCACTATATACAGAAACACAGAATTTTATAAACATGCAGTACACATTTTCATACAATGTGGTTTTATAGTCTCAACAAAAGGGGGAAATTAAATTCACACAATGTAATATGCATTTGTTTTGTGTGTTACTCCTACACATTTCTTTCCGTCTTTAAACTTCCCTCTGCTACGAAATGCTATCACCAGTTTGAAAATTTGTTCTCATCTTTAATCAAAAATGTCCTCTTTATGTTGGAGGGTCTCCCTCCAAGATGTCACAAAAAGGTCTAACATCAAAGGAACTTATCAGACCATTTAATTACTAGTCAAGTTTAACCACTGAAATTCTCACCTGTGATTTATATTAAAAGAAACAGCAATTTACCCAGTTACTCAGGAAATATTGCTAAATTTCTCCAAGTCTAGGCTGACTAGAATTTCCTCAGTAACGTTTGACATTCCTCACATCTTAAAAAGAAAACAATGGTTCTGTGAAAAGATTCTGATGAAGACTTTCTAAGAGAAATGTGTAATGGCAAGAGTGAAGTAGTATTTTTAATAGTATTAGCATCTTGTTACTTCTTGAATGGTAAAATGTACAAATTCATAGTAAGTATTTCTTTTTAAGTTAAAAACCCATATCAACAACTACTAGCACTTATGCAACTTTGGTCCATCGAAGCAAGGACTTGGTAGATACTGAAGCGTGGATCTTTCCTCCTATAGGATCGACACTAAATACCCAAAGGGGTAGGAAAAGACCAGTGGGGTGGAAGAGAGGTGGACAGATAGAGAGGACACTTTTCCATCCCTAGAACAAGGATAGTAAAGGCGCCATCTAACAGAGATTTAATGGATGTTGGCTGAATGAATCCAAGGAAAGTAAGGATAGGATAAAGGAGGAAATGCTGGCTGACTCTACATGTTTCTTTAACTGGCGTAAACACAAGCTGTAATCGAATCCTGCTTGCTCTGGACATTTACACCACCACCAGTTCCCAAAAGTGCTCTTAGATAAGTATCTACTAAGAGACTGGGTAAAGGAAACTAGGTCTTAAGAGAATTTTTTTAGTTTCCTTCTTAAAATATATGTAGGGAAAATGTGGACAAGGAAGAGGTACATTTTATAAAACACATTTAATTGGATTTTTAAATGTAATTTAAAAAATACTAATGATGATTGATTACTATCAAAATACACTGCTTTGCCATTCTTAAGCAAAAAGTTGAGAAGTTATAGGTCTGGATTCAAATCTATGTCATTTGTTTAGATTCTAGCATATTCTTCACTATGTCATGGCATTGATATCTCAGTTACTGAAGTTCCATTTGCTGGATAAACGGGGGGAAATCTGAACTGGGGGGCAGAAAAACAGGACTTCAACTCTCAACTTGGGAGAAAAATGTTGTCCTAATCTTTTTAGTAAAATCACCTTGGTAGCTCTTGGGGAATCAGGGCAGTCATTCTTTGTACTTAGTACAGAAAATATACATACAAATCCCTGACATAGCAGATCCAACAAAAATGTCTAGAGAATTGAATTAGTTGGTGTCAGCTTGGGCATATTAACACAGCAGCCCCACTCTCTTCATTTTAATTAGAGGTTCTCTAAAGACCTTTTCCAACATGATTTCATTTTAAGTTACCAGTTCCTTATAGCACAAGTACATAACATACAGGGAAGCACATTTCTTTATTTCTCACTTAAAGTACAAACAAAATGTTTACATTTTTAAGTGGTTTTGGAAATGTATGCTCAAATACTAAGAAAGTACATTGAATTATAAACTTAACACTGTTGGTAAGATTTAAAGTAAGAATAATTAAACTGCAAGTACTGAAGGGAGACACCACTCAGGACCTTCCTTTTTCCAAGCAACCCATGGAATCATTCATGTGGGGCAGATTACCTGCACTTCCTTCACTTAGTGGTTTTAAGCATTATTTGCAGTTTAGATTGAGGCCCTCTGACTAACTTGGATCTACAGACATTTCTAACTGGGATGTTAAGTAATAGTGTGGGTACATGCGAATCTCTTCTTTGGGGAACTGATTACACTGTCAGCAATATTTTACTAAACACATTTCTTTTAAATAAAGGAATTTAAACTACAGAGGATATCCCCATTCCTTCCTGCATTTATCCCACTCAAAAAAATTAATTGCTGTATCACATTTTAAAAGGTATAACCCAAATATAACAAGGGTTTTTGCCGTATCATAAACAAGAGTCTCCAGCAGTGTTAAACCAAGAACAATTTCCCAAAATTCACAAATCTCAAACATCCCCAAAACTCTTTAAAAGATCATTCAAATGAACAAATGCATCAAATTCTCCACCGGAACATGAAAAGTCATTGAACAAAAGCTTTCCAATTAGACTGTATTCATATATAGCAGCTTTATATATGTATATAGTGATATATACACGTGTGTATATCATTAAACGTTTCTTCGCTATAGGAAAACCACTAACTTTAAAAATCTCAGCGTAGAAAGAGCTATTAAGACAATTTTTATCAATTCATACTATTCCACTGAATTTCAAGACATCAAAACAGTGGTAGTTGCACAAAATCCCAATGGAAATAATTGAAAACAGCAAAGAAATAAAATATTCCCCAAATGTTAAAAGTGTACACACACACACACACACACACACACACACACACACACTTCATAATGTAAAGCAACTTGATAATGAGATAAATGCAGGATATCCTACAAATTAATTATTAACCATCCAATTATACTTCCATTCTAGAGTAAAAACAGGAGTTTAAATCTCTTTGGTCCATGCATTCATATATTTATAATGTATCAAAGCTTTTTTCTGGTTAATTTTGGATTCTGAATCATATGCTCTACATTACCCTACCATGACAACTTTCTTAACTCATAAAATAACCATATGCTAAAATAAATAAATATTATATTCATAAGTCTGAAACAATTTCAACATGCTATTGGTAATTCCTCTCAAAGAACAGGAACACTTCAAATTACTGATAGAATAGTCAATCAAGCAAGGTAAAGAAGCACAGCTCAAATCTAACAGCAAAGGAGAAATTAAATTGACTTGGAAAAGTTATGACTAAATTTAATTTGGGAACACATCAGGAATATAAAGAACACATGAAAATAATTACAAGCTTGTGTATAATAAAAAGAATCAATCGTAAGATTTACTTCAAAGATCTCTAAGAATACATAGTTGTTTAGTGTTTGTTTGTTTTTTTTAAATAAATTTCCAAGTCACAGCCTTAGTAAACCCCGCACATTGGCTTTCATGCCATCAACTCCACAGTGTTAAGTTTTTGATATATTCAACTTTTAAATTTGAATGGAACCTAATAGAAACCTATTTTTTAACCAAATCAAGTTGTAAAACGGTGAGGTTAGAGTGCGTAATATTAGTTTGTGAACTGACCTTAACTTCATATTGTCATCAGTTGCTTTTCTTTTAAATTACCACATATATAATTATACTAGGAATCTTAAAAATCTCAGTAGGAGGCAAATTCAACCAGGTTCTGTTCTCCTTACTTCCTGTACTCTTAAAAAGTTATATAGTCAAATTTCTTAAAATTTTTATACTAAAGACATTTTTCATTTCTAATAAATGTCAATATAGATTCTAGTAAACTTAAATAACAGCATAAATAACTGAACAACTTAATCACTCCAACATATGGTCAGAACTGTATTGATATGCTCGGATTAACTGCCACATTTTAGAATTTACTATATTCCCCAATTTTTACTTAGCAAAATTATGTTGTTAGCACATATCCAAAGTATGAGAGTTTATACTCTTCCTAATATAACTTACTTGTTACTTATCTACAAATGAGGCTTTTGTTTTCACAGCCTAATTTAGGCCACTCTTTAAATATATTTAATACTCCATAATGAAAGATTGTTTACATTTTGTCAAAAATTAAGGTGTACCCAACAAGTAGAATAATCCCACTGAGATACTAGTTATAAAGAGGTTTTCTCCATGAGATACATGGCAAAATCTTTCTTCAGAAGGGTCAAAGAATGCAACATGCATTTCAGACTTCTTTCCTTACAAAATTTATAAGAAATTTTCAAATGATATTTTTATGACACACAAACTACAACCAATGTGTGTGACCAATACAATTCTGAATTCATATCAACAGAATATTCATGTAGGAGGGAAACTATTCAGAGTATTATTTAAGTGAGTGAAAAGGATGCTCCCTATAGATCTACTTTAAGTTCTTAAAAGATTTTAACTAGTTTTCCGCTAAGTATATTTTCAACATAAATTAAATAACAATAATGCCTTAAACATATTAAAGCCCTAAATTCCATAAACATTCAACATTAAAAATCAAATAATTTATCTCATATTAAATGATTGGGTATTCAGCACTCATACAGGATTTAGCATTACAAAACAAAAATCTCACTACATTACCTGAATTCATGTCAAATATGTTCACAGCACTCATCTAACATCTACACTTGCAAATTGTCGCATGATCAATGTTAAAAAAAAAAGTTTGGCACATATATCAATTCCTCAAAACGTCCTGTAACTTAACACAACACTGTTAAGAACGATGATTCAACACCAATGTTAACCTGATTGGCAGCTAAACAAGGTGCTTTTCTTGTAGCTTCACATAGCATATTGCGCCTTGCCTGGGACGGAGGCACGTAAGGTGCAGTGGTGTAGTGCAATCACTTGAACACCAGAGGGCAATCTTTCCACACAGCTCAGGGCCTGTTCTTTAGACCTGCTCCTTCCACTTTTCTTGTACAACTTCATCTCCTATTTGTTAACAACGCCATTTCCAGAGAATCTGTTTCCTTATATGAAGAAAGACATTTCCACAGAAACCTCAAAGTGTAGCAAGGATCCTTGAAAAAGAGATGATTAATGTCAGAACTGTCTGTCCAACACCCCACACCAGGGCTTCCAAAGGGGCCATGTTCTTCCCTGCTACTCTGTAGATGCCAGCAACTGCTGCACCTAGGTGAGAAAAGAGAGACAAAGTAACACACCCAGTCATTTATAACACACCGCACTGTTGTAATGTATCATTTCTTCTCATTTTATCAAAATAGAATGTCATCGAACAATCCCATTTTATAAATTTTCTATGAAAGAACTTCTGTATTACTGGTTATACTTTATCATACCACATTTACCCACCTAATTGAAAAACGGGCTGTTTATTCAACTGAACAATATTTATTGTATATGCTGCTTACTTGACACAAATATATTTCTAAAAAATGAGTAATTCATTATTGTCATCTCTTACCTGGGCACTGGATTGGCCAGACTGCATCAGCATTTTTATAGAAATACAACACAATATACTGATAATTACAGAAAGTCACACAATTTAATGTAATTTCTAAATTATTCAAGAGAATTTAATATTAAAGAAACTTCTTTCAGGAAAATAAATGCTTAGATGTCATAAAATAGCAGGCTAATTCACTCACAATCGACCATATAAAATAATTTAAGCTTTTTAATGTATCATAGAACTATAAAGTTATTTGGAGACTAATATCTTAACATCTAATAAAAATGGAAGATGAGGGGCCTCCCCGGTGGCGAAGCGGGTTGAGTGCCGCACTGTGAAGCTGTCCGCAGCCTCTGCAGCGCCAGTTCGATTCCTGGCCAGCCAGGGAGAAACCCACATAGCGTGGCAGACCTCTCCTGCTTCGCCCCGTCTGCCTGTTCTGCTCCCCGCTCTCTCTGGTGAATTCTCTCACCCTCCCGCACTTTTAACCTGTACCCCAGTTTGTGTATAAATAAATAAAATCTTTTTTAAAAAATGGAAGATGAACATGACATCTATTTAGGAAACTTTTTTAGACAATACACACTTGCGAGAATGAGACAATCTCAGAGTTACAAGGCACCTCAGAGCCCATCTGATTAACACAGTATGGTGTGGTATCTAATGACTGATTTTAAAAGTACACTAAGAAATCATAAAGGAGAAAATATTTAAATTATATTTTGCCTTCTCACAGATTGCAATGTCCTTACAACTATTTCTTTTTTTTTTTTCCTTTTATTTATACAAGCACTGGGTACAGGCAGAAGCGTGGGAGGGTGACAGAACTCACCAGAGCCTGAGGGGAGAGCAGAGCAGGCAGACTGACAAGATACACTGCTGCGGAGAGCAGCAGGTGGCAGGAGAGGTCGTGGCGCCATGTGGGACCATTGCTGGTGGCCGGGGATCGAACTGGCGCTGCAGAGGCTGCGGGCAGCTTTGCAGCCCAGCGCTCAACCGCTGTACCACCGGGGAGGTCCTACAACTATTTCTACAGAAAAAAAGTATCTATATATCCTAGAATGGCGAAAAGAAGTGAGTAAGAACAGAAGGAAATTATTAAAAGACACTGAATTGACAGTTATTGAAGATAGAAATCTATTCATAAAAAAATAGCAAAAAGGGTCTCCTCTGTTGGCACAAGCGGTTGAGCGCTGTGCTTTGAAGCTGTCTGCAGCCTCTGCAGCGCCAGATGATCCCGGCTGGCCGGCAATGAGGGTCCCACATGGCACGGCAGACCTCTCCTGTTGAGCCCACTGCTCCCCTAGCAGTGTATTTCATCAGTCTGCCTGTTCTGTTCCCGGCTCTCTCTGGTGAATCCTCTCACCCTCCCACAGCATCTGGCCTGTACCCCAGCTCTTGTATAAAATAAATAAATACATCTTTTAAAAAAATAGCAAAGAATTCTTATTTAAATAGTTTACTTCAAATTTCCCAAATAAAAAGAATAGTATTCTTCTATAAGAGACCTACATGGGAATAGCAAATTACGAACCTAAGCCAAGGACTTTCGTATTTGAAGAAGGAATTTAAATATACAGTATTTTTACTGAATACTATGTATCTTGCTAGGTAACTTGGTAACTTACAAATAATACCTTATTTCAATATCATACCACCCTGAATATTACAATCTAATTTAAAGGTGAAAAAACGGAAGTTCAGAGGTTCATTTAGAGCACAAGGGAATACAAGAAGTATTAGAATTGGAATTTCAGGGCCTCCCCGGTGGCGCAGCGGTTGAGCGCTGGGTTGCGAAGCTGCCCACAGCCTCTGCAGCGCCGGTTCAATCCCCAGCTGCTCCCCCGCCACCGGAGGAGGGTCCCACGAGGCATGCAGACCTCTCCTGCCACCCGCTGCTCCCCTCAGCAGTGTACATCGGTCCTTCTGCCTGCTCTGCTCCCGGCTCTGGCTCTGGTGAATTCTCTCACCCTCCCACGCTTCTGACTGTACCCAGTGCTTGTATAAATAAATGAATAATAAATAAATAAATAAATAAATAAATAAATCTTAAAAAAAAAAAAAGAATTGGAATTCCAGTCCAATTAGTTGGGCTAACTGGATAAATCTGAATGTCGTTCTATCAAGAACAAGGAATTCAGAAGATAATAACTGATAACCATCTCAATATTATGTAAATATTGAGAGTGGCACCAACACACTCTTAAGTAATGAACTTTACTAATAAAATTGGTCATATCAATTTTAGGACTGGATGACATATATAAATCTTTTTTCAAAGAACTTACGCCCTTTTTTGTTTTTAGAAATTATGTTAAAATAAACCTGACAAGTACTCTGTTTTTTTTAACCCTAGATTTCCCATAACCAACTTCAATTTTATAAAACATGTATTTGACTTCCATCTCTCCAGCACTAACTTTTCAAAAGTCAAGAAGTGAAAAATCAAAGCAATTACTAGCCCGGGCTGCCTTGGAAATAACAAATCTGTCAATTTAAATATCAGATTTGCATTTAAATGCCCTAGCTCTGGAGCTAGATTCTGATCAAAATCCAAGTTCCACTACTTACCCAGCTGTTACCCTAAGCAACCACTTACCCTCTCTGTACACTATACGTCCTCAACTATAAAATGGGTTAGTGTGAAAATTAAAAGATAATACTTGGTAAGTAGTGTCTAGTCCTGATATGTACTCTAAATTTTGGTTAGTTGTTCTCATAATAAAGGTATTCACCATTCAATAAATGGTGCTGAAATAACTGGTAGCCATTTGGGGAAAAAAATAAATCTAGGTCCCTACTTCACACTATTCCCCCCAAAATTTTCATCTGTGTCAAAGAACTAAATATTAAAAAATAAAATTATAAGGGTGCTTTGGTGGTGTGGTGTAGTAACAACACCTGAAGGAGGAAATCCTATACCTCTAAAACACAAACAATATTGTAAACTGTTACCTCAATAAAAAACCAAAACCATAAACCTTAAGAAAATATGCTTGTAACCTTAGGAACAGAGGACTACCTACTAGCACTCAGAAAAGAGCAATAACCACAAAGATTTGACTACCAAGGCAGACTAGAAAAATTCTGCCATGTGTAACAATGTTTCGTATCCAGAATATACAGGGACAAACACACAAACAATAATCAATGTAATATATTTTTACAATAGCAAAACAACAAAAACAAAAGGAAAAACCCCTAACTTCATCAATCAGTAATAGCTAATCTACACTAAATCCAAAGAAACTTGTGTAATTTCAAAAGTAAAATACAGAACTGTGAGAGGTGACACAGAAAGAGCTTAAAATCTATCATTCACACAACATCCTTGACACTCAGGGTTTGGGGCTTAAAGACTGGCTCAATGTGGAGGCCAGGAAAACAGTGTCTGGGACATATCCTACAGGGGGTTCAGAATTTTAGAGGTGAGCAGTCATGGAAAAGCACTTTAAGAGACAAAGCAAAAAAGAATAAGAGACGCATTTTAAGGAACAGAAAAGTGAATACTCAAAACACTTCACTGTCATCTTTTCCAAATAAGCTGACTCCTTTATTTAGTACTTAGCTGTTCCAGTGAGGGAAAAAAGGGTTTTATTGAGAAAACAAAACTACTAAATAATTCATAAATCATGTTTCTTTATAATCATTCAAGGAACAAAGTAAAACCTAGAATGATGAGGTTCTCGGAGAAAAATGAGTAACACAAAGACAAAAAAAGGAAAACTCCAGAGTTTCTACAACTATGGGAATTGTTCAAAGTATTACACAGAAAAGAAAGCCAATGACTATTCTTCCAGAATACAGACACATTCTATATGAAGAAATAGTGGATAATCAGTTAGGAACCAACTTGTAAGTTACAATGTTCCCCAAAATAAGTAGATTTATAGAAGTTCCTACTCTGTTGTACCAGTTCACAACCCAGAAGCACTAGTCAGAAAAGTGAGTTCCAGTAGAACTCTTAATCTAAAAGATCTGAAAGAAAACAATTTTGTGTGTTTACTGAAACACTTTGAAAACACTACTATTAAATATTGAGCAGATAGTAAAGAGTATTTATAAAGGTCTACATAGATCACAAAAATACCAACAATCCCCAAGTACCCATCCTCCAACAGAAAAACATTATTTCCCTTGATGTTCCTGTGGTCCCTCCTCATGGTAACCAATTCTCTCCTTGAATTTGGTTTTCATCATCCTTTGTTTTCCTTCAGCTTTAGCACCTGCTTACAGTCCTAAAATAGACAGTTTTTTTATATCTGAATATTATATAAATTGCTACACAAAATATTCTAAAATTTTTGGCTCTTTAGTATATGCATGAAAGTTATGTGTTGTTTGTGTGCAGCTGTAATTCATGTATGTTCAATGTTGCACAGAATTTCACAACTTATTTTATCCATTGTATTGTCACTGACCCCTGGCACACACATAGTCAAGAGTTTGTCATACAAGGGTAAAAGCACAATTGCTTAGTTTATGGGCATTTTCAAATTTACTAGGTTAATGCTGAATTTCTTTCCAAAATATTTGTAACAATTTATATACTTAGTGAGTCCACATCTTTAGTAGCAAAGAATTAAAAAAAAACAAATCTGTCAATCTGATGGATGTTCTTGCTGTGATTTATTTGCATCTCCCTGATAGTTAATGTGACAGTTTTCCTTCACATATAATGGTCACTAGTGTTTCTACTTCTATGAAATGCTTG